AGCTGCGGCGGTGGAGCTTGGCGTTGCCATCCATAGCCAGGATATCTTTTCGGTCGTTGCTGGCAGCCAGTTGCTGTAATCGTCGACTGAACATGAGAGCGTCATACCACACCCAACATCGCTTGATAATGTTCTCGGTGCATCGAGACTGGAGAGCATCTTTCAGCGTCGCTCGCTGTTGCTGTGTGAGACCGACCTCCGCGGATCGCTGACAGAGCAGTCTCTGCACCCAAGACAAGCATATCATCTTCCTCCGGCGCCAGGCATGCAGGTGCTAGAACGAAACGTGAAGCCCTACGCTCGAACTTGCATGTGGAAAACACCACCCTTGCACTGCGGGGCTGCTGCGTAGCCACCAGAGTTGGCAGCGGTTGCGATTGACTGGGTGGGGAGTTGACAACCTATAGCGGACCTAGCAAACAGACAAGCAGCCGAAGCAAATTATACTGAAAGGAACGACGAATGAAGCCAAGTTGCCGGAGCGTGCGCACCTTGACGGTTAAATTGGCATCCGTGGCACGCAGTAGCATGGCCTCTCCCTGAAAGGAAGCGCGGTGAAAGTAAAGTCTATACCGCCACCGGCGTAGCCAGGTGACAGACACTGCAAAGGATTTGTTTGCAAACCAGACATCGGGGTGGAAGAATCCATCATCAACTTCCATGACACGTGAGCGACTAGACTGGCCATCAAGAGGACGTTGTAGGAATCCACACCAGTACAGGACTCCGCTGTCCCGGCACGAACCGCACCATCGAGGAACATGTGTAGCAGACACACAATCCGGCTCCTGAAGGATTAGTGCACGTACCTTGGGGCATCTGCGAGATACAACCTCTGACTGCTGCAGAAGACTTCCGCATCGAGGACAATGCGTTCGCAAAGTTGTAATCACACGAGGGGTTGCACGAAAGCTACATTTGGCCAGGGCTGCAAGCAGACCAGCTTTTTCTGTGTGTGTGAGGCATAGTCCTTGCGATCGCAGTGCATCGCAAAGAGCTTCAGCAGAGTGGCTCTGCATGCGCGGAGCCTGCATAGAGGGCGATGTGTTCCCACTGCTGGCAGGAAGACCACCGCAAACGGGATCCTGCTTCGAAGACGATGCTTTGTAGGAAGGGGCCTGGGCTGCCGGCAGATCGTGGTCGAGGACAGCATCGCTTGCGATGCTGCTGCACCCGTGGCNNTGCAACACGTCTGCTGCCAACCTTTGTACTTTGAAGAACTTCTGGGCACCTTGAGGGTGCCTATAGTCGACAGGGACCTCAAAGCGCAAAGGCTCCGATAGTATCCAGGCATACTTGAAGTTCGCATTGGCAAGAACATCTGCACCAACACAGTGTTTGTCGCCATTCCTGTCCAGCATGTCCTGCTCAAGCAAGACGCAATCCTCCAGGTTGACGCACCCGTGGAAGCGTGATCCTTCAGCCAGCAGGAGAGGACCTCGGAGGTGACAGATGTCCTTGCGAAGCTCCCAGGTTTTGGCGCCGTCGAGGATTTTATCTATCCAGGGCTTCTGGATGACAATACCTCGTGGCCACTCAGCAGCCATGGCTGCAAGCTACGCAAACGGCAGTGGAATCTGTGCCGAAAGCTGGAATCAGATCGCTGATGATACATCTTTAAGCAACGAACATTCAACAACAGTGAGCAGGTTTCGGCCTGTTTTGACCCAAGGCAACAGAATTGGACGTCCGAGGTTCATACATCTCCAGCCGAAATGCCCTACCAAGCAGGAAAATCAAAGT